GATGATGAGAGGGAGGTGGTGATGGCAGGATTTAGGGCTCTGTGTATCTGCTTTGGAGGAGGTTGGCAGGGGAGATTTAAGAAGAACAACTGCTGGGAATATATGCTGTCAGTTTCAGGGCAGGGAATTCAAGGAAGAAGAGACCAGCTACATGGACAAGAGAATAACTATAGACAGTGACACAACCACAAAGACATTGGTCTCTCTACTGTCCTGGCCTGAACTTCTTACACCTGATCAAGCTCTGGGAGCATGCCATCAATCACACTGAAAAATGTAGTGGGACATTTTGCTGTGTCTACCCTCAACTACTGTTCCTTCTCTGCATTTTCCCAAGTCATTATTTCCTTCAAGACACTGATATATTGATGGGGACCTAAGAAAGGGAGGACTGAATTCCAGTTATTCATATCCAGATCTTCTCTTCTAAGAGTATAAGGGAGCTCAAGGCAGGAATGACAAATTATTCAACCTAGAATAAGGCACACTGACTTAACGGTTGCTAAATAGGTGCTTCATAGGTAAGAAAAGAACAGACAGAAGGAAGGGAGGGAGACAGAGGGAAAAAGAGAGGAAGGAAGGAAGGAAGGAAAGGAAAGGAGTGGGGAAAGGAAAAAAGAAAAAGAAATTGGTCACAGTTGTTATGGGAGGTACAGGTGAACTTGGCTTGCATCACAGAAGAGAAATGGTATCACAGAAGTAAGTTACCCAGGGACCCATCCTGGGTGGTTGGGGGCAGTTATTTGGGGAATATGTAAGCTCGTTGGCCAAGGCTAGGTCCTTGATTTACTACTTTGACATATTCTGGACTCAGTTCTTTAATAGTAGTGGAGGAGGGTGAGAAGACCACCTTTAATGGGGAAACTAAAAGAAAACACAAAGAAGTAGCTCTGTTTTCCCAGTTGTGCTCTATATCTCATGAAGCTACTAACATATCTGAGTCATTTCCTCAGTGGTTGTGACAGTTCTATCTTCTGTCCTTAGGAGGAAATGGAAAGTTTAATACCTTACATTAGACCACCTTTTTCATATACGAGGATTCATTTCATTCTCAAGGCCCAGAAAGTACTTAAATGGTAAAGCCAGGTTTTGCATGGGCATTTTGTCCCCATCCCTATGATACATTATTCTCCTTTTTATCCTTTTTATAAGGATAAATTACAATCATCATCCATACTCAAGCCAGGGCAGCTGGGCAGTATTTATGTATTAAAAAATCATTTATGTCTCATCCAACGCGTGTTAAACACTGTGCTGGGCAGCTAACAGGTAACTTTCTCTGCATATCTTACAAGAGCTAATAATTCCCATTTTACAGGTCAAGAGTTGAGGGTCAGATTTATCTAGCTTGACCTTAGTAGACAGTCAAGCTTAGTAGAGGGTGGAGTTCAGACAAAATCAATCCCTTCTGTCTACCTACCGGTTTATTAAAGATCTTTTAGTAAACGAGACCTAAACTTCAAGCCCACTGTTCTCACTTTCATAATAATCATCCCATAAGATGAAAATTAATAGTTGCCAGACCAGAGAGGGTGGATGTACAGAAGCAAGCAGAGGGAGAGGTACCATCTTTAACACAGCTAACAACACACAAGCCTTTCAGTTTCGCTAAAGTTCAAATGCCAAGGCCAGAGTATGCTCTGGGCGAGCGAACACACGTGTACCCTACGCATACGCCCAGATGGTCTCTGCCCGCTCCTTCGACCGGACCTCTTTAGCCCAGTCACCAGCCAGCCACTCCAAACTCCTGCCCTCAAGACTAAACCCTCTACCAATCGGGAAGCCAGAGTCATCAGCACGTCACTTATTTAGCATCTTCCCTCCTTCCCCCGCCCCCACGCCACGGCCCCACCCCGTCTGAAGCAGGGATTGTCGCCTAAGCACTGAGTCCTGGCATCTGATTGGCTCCTTTGCCAGCTCCGCCTCCGTCTCCTCCCGTCGCCCTCCCCTCTGCGCTTCCACGGCGGCGGGCGGCTCTTGTACGCAGGCGCGGGCGCTGCCTCTCTCTTGTAGTGGCCCGCCCT